TATATATATATATATATATATATAAATTATATTGTCTATAGTAATTTGGATTATATTTCAATCTAAAATGTTTAATCGATAATGAATAATTAATTTTGTTTAGATTGAAATAAAATGAATTTTCGGGCGGAAAAATTTGAAATGATATCTATAATAACTAGATAAAATGTAAATGTGCTTCCACTGATCCATCTTCGTTATTTCAAGTGTTTTGTACGCCATTTTTCTTTTCACTAAATTGTTCTTTCTTTGAAGCTATAGTACAAACGCATCTCGTCTGATCTCATTATTTTTATACGTCAACGATCATGCTCACAGCACGGTATTTTTTACGTGATGTTAAAATCAACCCTTGTACAATGTTTCAGAGGCCTTACTCTACAGTTGATTTCGCTAATAAAATTTTTCGGGCTGAATGACATTGATCTCGATCAATGACGCACACGTTACGTTTTTGGCTATTCAGTAGAGGTATTAAATGAAGCAACGGTTACGTCATTGGTCTCGAGTGCGTCAAATTAGAATTTAACGTAGAAATCTCGCGTGATCAGTCAACGTGTTGATATAGTCAATAAATAGATCCATTCTCGTCACAATGAAACGCCATGTCGCTTGAAATCGAGAGATCGCATGTACCCCGAGAAAAATTTCTAACTAGGCTCTAAGAATTATAAAATGCTCGCGAATCCTTTGATTTTTTTTTTCTTTCTTCCACTCTTTTTCTTTTTCCTAATAATGATCGCGCTCGCGAGTCGGCTTGAACCAGCCCCGAGCACGACGAGATCAATCGTATTCAAAAAATCCCATCTCCAGGATCTTGGAATACCTTATTGATCGCACTGAACTTCTACCCGTCGCTCTTGTTCGACTAGTTCGAAGACTACTTTTCTTCTCTGAGGAGGGCTTCCTCGGCCTCCTTTCGCCTCGTTTTCGCCTCTTTCTTCGCTCGTTTCTTCTCCTCTTTGGCCAGTTTCTTCGCCTCCTTTTGCCTGATCTTCTCCGCCTTCTCCTCCTCCTTCTGACGAGCTTTCTCCGCTTTTTCCCGTTCTTTCTCCCTCTCCTTCTCCTTCTTCGACTTCTGGATCTCCTGGACCACCGACAACTTCGGCGCCGACTGAGGCCTCTTCGACGTGGACTTCGCCGACGAGGACGAAGAACTGGTCACGTTGCTCGAGTCCCTCGGACTCGGCGACGTTTCCAATTGTGTCACGATTTTTTGAGCACATCTGGCGAATAAAAGTCGAACATGCAAAGTCGGACGCGAAGCAAATTTGAAATTTAGCAAAGGACGAGTGAAATTATTGCTGGATGATTTTGGCAGGTATTTTTTTATCGTAGATTTTTACATAAAATTTCATGAACACGGTGGAAGAAATAAAAGAAGCGTAGAAATTCGGTATTACTACATGTGTCGTAACGAGTATTGTATTTTAGATATTTTATATATTTTCATATATTAAAACTTCATTCACAAGTAAATACCTATAAACATTTAGATGTGAACATTTGTTAGAAAATTTTCAAAAATTATTACTTCGTTGTAAATAATTCTAGAAATAAAATTCAAATTTTAGCCAAATTTTTGTATTCAGTTTATTCTGAGAAATCTAAAATTTGTACAAAGGATTGAATAATTTATTACCTTATCCTAGTCGATGCTTTTCCCGCGCGATAATCTCTTTGGAATTCCTTGATTGGCGGCAATCTGCGATCCCGATTTTCCCTCATCACCTCTTCCTCCTCAGCGATTTGCTGAACTGGATCTTGATACTCCTAATATCAATTAAAATAAAGCAACTTCATATTAATTTAATATCATCAATATTATATCAATTTAATATTAATATAAAATCTCAAAATAATAATTCTTTATTCTTATCAAATCGATCTGAATTCTCATTTTCATGAAACAGTTCAATATTTTACTAATTTTTCTTTATTATCAATTCAATATTAATAATAGTACTCGCAATACCAATCAAATTAAACGATTATTTTGTCAATTTTCATTTTACTTCAAGAGCCATATTGATCAACTTCATAAACAGAAAAATAATGATACTATAAACATTATTTATTAAATTTACCATTAACTGTGTCATATTCTTTCCATGGAGTTAATTCATTTAATAATTTCCTATTATACAATGAAATCAAGGAATTAACAAGACGAAGTTGCTTTCAGTTTGGCTTTTAACAACTGAATGTCGATATAGAATCAGAAAGTAAATTCTTTCTGCAGATCAAACCGACCTGAATTCTCATTTTCATGGATTGAGTCTGCGAGCGTCTCAGAGTCGCGCCAGAAGGTTGCCTTACCCTCGTAGGCTTGCCAAGGTTAGAGCTTCCGGTGCTACTTGCAGAAGACGAACTCGTAGAAGATACGGAAGACACTCCTGTGAAAACCGAAGCAATATTGTTAACGGTAGTGATGATTTATAACGTTGCGATCTGTTGAGGATATGACGAACCAGAAATAGAGGATGAGCCACTGGCCATAGAGTATAAGGACGCTGAGGCTGGCACATTTCCAGCGACCCATCTACCACCGGGTCCAGTCACTCCAACAGACATGCCTGTTCCCATATTATACTCTGACGCGCTTTGTGGCAGAACCCAAGACTTCCCTGACATCGAGTACTATGAAATACGGATATTACAAGGTGTTACAAAGGCACACGAAAACATCTGATGGTAGATATTAGTATCATAGAGTAGTAGAAAGTATCATAAAGAATATTTTATATCATAAGAAGAATTATAATGTATTCTTGTGTACATTTTTTTTTTAAATGTTAATAAAATGTTTTATATAAAACTGATTATGTAATATTGATCATTAATGAATTAATAAATCAAATCAGTCATAATCAAAGGTTTCACAAAATTAACGAGAACATTGAACTTCATCGTGTATATCTAATATTCATATCATTTTAATATCGAAATTTTAGTATTATGTTACGTTATTATTGCATCAATATATATCACATTAAATTTAATATCAGCATTTTTTAATTAATTACGAACTTTATTCTTGTGACAGGATCGGCAAGAAGATATACAATAAAACGACAATAAAATAAATTAGAAATAAAATTATGCTAAAATAATATTAACGTTATACAATCAAATCAAAAATGATTATAAATGTCTGAAATTTCCATACATAAGAAAATTTCATCGATCCACTTCTTTTATACCAATATAATTTCTATCCATATATAGTTCTCCTTATATAATAAAAAATTCCTAGAACTACTATAACAACCTCGAGGAAATTTCTATCGAGTATGTACATCTGTATGCACATGTATAATTGTTTCTCTGTGTACGTGAAGTTACGACAGATCGCTTTGAAGTTTCATTAAACGAACGAGCACGTGGGTTCCGGCGAGGCTGAACGAACGAAACGAATTACTCGCGGATCGTGTCCCATGAAACCTGTCCGAAAATTTCGCGAAATTAATTGCGGGACTGCGTGGAACGAGAAGCCGCGACGATATTTATTAAAACCGTTTCGAAAAAAAAAACACATACAAAAAAAAAGAGGTAGAAAGAAATGGTCACACGTCGTACGCGACGAACCTATTTCGGCCGCGTTGGCGAAATAACGACGAGTGGCTTTTCCAGCACGCTCCAATTAACGACCGTTTTTGCACCGGTGCAATCACATCGGCCAACAGCAATACGATTTTTATTCTGGTTGCACGCGTTTTTATGCAACTCCGACGGTGCAGAACAAAATTGCGCCTCGAAATAATCGTAAGATGGCAAGATGTCGTGGAGTGGTTCTTCGATCACGAGGGACAAAAGTAGGTAGAAGGGGAGGAAGAGAGAGTGCGAGGGTTGAAGAAAAAAAAATGATGTTGATTATTTTGCACTACTTACGTCCCGAGGGATGAGGGTCTGTTTCAGACGTAAGATCTTTGCTCTGCATATGACGCATCTCAATGGTAAAAGCCTCTGAGAGACGGCCATTTGTATCGTTTTGACGAAACAACGTCTGCAAAATGATTACAAGGAAGATGTAGTACGAGTTGCAAATATATCCGACTCAGTTACAGAAGTAATTTCTTTATATAGTTTGTGTTTGCTCGACAGAATATACAAATAAATTTCATAAAAACTTATCTAATTAGAAGAAGAATTTTGGATAAGACTTTATGGGTTTTAATTTAGTTGGTTATATATATATATATTTGTAAAATACTTATAATGTTTCTTATGTTTATTTGAAAAAATGTATAAGTGAGAAATGTATGAGAATCTAGATAGAATTCTGATAAATAAGTACAACAAACATTTTTTTCAGAATTTATATAAATTTAGTTTATGAATAAATTAGTGTTTATAAAATGTCTTTTCGAATGCAGTTTATCAAATATACATACGTAGCCTTCTCTGACTGATTGTATGTTTCTTCAAAAGTATCCGGACACTTCTCTATTTTTTATAGGATATAATTCAATTATAAAATAAGGAATTGGAGGATCTACAATAATTTTATTCTTTACAATGATTGTACATGTACAACTAGACAAAATATGTACATACTATGTTGTACGAAGAAATTCGTCATGTTAAAGTGAACAACGAAATTTCTTTTAAGCTCATGTTTTCAAAGAAATTTTATTTTAAATTGACACAAGGACTTAAGCAATAACTTCATAAGAATATTATAAGTAATGTCTCTAATTATTAGATATATTTCATTTTATTATACTTTGTATTATATTACACTTTTATGAAATTAAAAACTGTTATTAAAAATTTACCAAAGTGTCCAGATACTTATGCATATATATTATAAAAAATTGCAAGTATGGTTTTACCTGCAAACAACCCGATGACCACACGGAGCAGTTTGCATCGTGGCCCTAGCATTCACACAGATCACGCACTACGAGAAGAAAAGAAAGAGAGGACTAATTAGAATTTCATCTCGACGAAGCGTATTAATTTGATCATTCTCGATCCTGCTTTGAGCTTCATCGAGCGATCCACGCAAAAGAACGAAAGATAAAATCCAATGAAATTCCATTGGGAAGTTTCTGATTGATCACCAGAAATTTTCGACGATTAAACAAGCAAAGACTCGCAAAATTTTTTCGAAGAAGAGGAATTTATGTAAAGGATCTGGATTTAAGGGTAAAATTTAGTTACAATGATATCTTAAAAACGAGTTTCTTTCCTTTTTTATCAATTCATTTATTTCAATATTTTAACCTAAACTACATCCCTGGACTTTTTCTAAAGTTCTATTGTATCATCTTAGTGGTATGACGTTCAGACGTATCAGTTACCTGTAACATGATAAAAATTTAAAAGAATTCAATCTCGTGATTGTGAAATTAGATGTTTTGATTTTATAATTATAAAAATATGCAATTGCTTTTGATAAAATGTTCATTTATAATAATGGTGGCTCGCCATAACAAGGACACAGGTGATTACATGATAATAAAAATTTGAAGACAATCTGAAAATGTACATAAAAGATACAAGAAATTTAATGAATATTTATTAAATATCTTATAATTACTATACATATTTCTTTCTAGATGTTTGAATTTGATATATAGTATCATTGCTTTAATATTTACTATCTAGCCTTGCTCATAAATATTTAATTTTATATTTCCTATATAATACAGAATTAAATAATAACAAGATGTATAGATCTTGTAGCCCCTATATGTATACATTTTCAAATTCAAATATTATTACAGTACTAATAAAATTTCAAATATTCACGACATGGATACTAGTAATTCTAACAATAATTCATAATACTTTCATTTTATCTCTATCTTTTCAACTCACCACCACCTCCACGTTGACCTCCAGCTCCAGCTCCAGCTCCAGCTCCTGCATTAGCACCCATGCTAAATCCAAATCCACCACCCATGTCACCTCCCATACCTCCCATACCTCCCATACCTGGCATTCCCGGCATGCCACCTCCACCATTTCCACCTTTTCCATCATTATCTCCTCCATTCTGAGCAGCCCTCTTGCCTCTCATCATGTTTCTACCAGTCACAAATCCAGAAGATCCAGAAGATCCAGAAGATCCAGAAGATCCAGTGTCAGGCATTGCTGTACTTGCTGCATTCATTACATCTTCAGGTGGTGGTCCAGGAGGTGGTCCGCATGGTGGTCTTGGTGGTGGTCCACATTGACTATCATGAGGGCTGCGTTTCTTTCGTTCGCTATAAGAGTCGTTAGAGTTGGAGGAACTAGACTCCGAGGAAGCTGCAAGGACCTCGAATTGTTTTCAGTTTAGTTAGTTTAGGTTTTCAATTAGAAGTATAGGTCAGCATATGACGAGGTTGCAAAGATAATTAATTTGATACTTTGAATCCTAATTTAAGAATCGTGAATGTAAAAAAAGAAAAAAAAAGTGTTTTGCTTTGTGATTTCAATGTACAATAAGAAAGAAATACTCCATTTTTATTACATTTTTAAGTTTCTAGTTTGTAATATGTTGTACATTGAGTTTGCAAGTAGAACAGTTTGAAATATTCACTACTGATTTTTGAAATTATTAAATTTCTATTTCAATACATTGTAAATAGAAGATCTATTCTATAACAAATTTCATTTACAAAAACATAGAAATCATGTACTCAGATTTCTTTAAGTTTCTACTGTGTACATACGTTGTAAATAATATACTGATCGTGTAATCTATTTCACTTGCGAATAAAATATTTTCATTCATTATTCTTCCCAATTTATACTTCAATAAATACAATGTCTCAATGCGTTGCTTCGTTACAGCAATAAATATACTTCCGTCTGAATACTTCAATACTTTAATAAATAATACATTGCTGAATAATAGATTGATTCCCCGTTTAAAAATTCCTCCGCACGACCTTGATCCTATTTTCGTTTCGCGATCTTCATTGTCCCAAATACTCTCGCAACACAATTTAATTTCATTTTTACAACCTCGTTACACATATCTTGACCCAA